AGTGAGGGGGCCAGTGGCAGGAGGTGAGGTTGGAGAGGTGACAGGGGCCTGGTCCTATAGGGCCTCATTGGCCATGAGGAGGACTGGTATTGTCTCTGAGAGCTAGAGCCATAGCAGGGGTCTGAGTGGAGGATGACCTTGGGCTGACTTGGGTTGTAACAGGACCTTGTGGCTGCTGTGAGGACAGATAGGGAGGGGGCAAGAGCCACTGCAGTAGTCCAGGCCAGTGATGGTAGCAGTGGTAGTGGACATGGAAAGGAGCGGTCCAATTCTAGATAAATTCTGATGATGGAACTGACAGCATTGGCTAAGTTTGGTTGTAGCAGTCGGAGGAGGGCAGATCAAAGTGATTCTGGGATGTTTGCCCTGAGGAACTGGAAGGGTGGAGTGGACATTGGCTGAACTTGGGGAGACTGTGGGAGGAGCAAGATGGAAGGGAAGTTCGAGGCCATTATAAAGACTTTATCCTGGGGGTTCCATCAGGTTGTAGGTATCCTCACCCTGCCCTGTGGCCCCCCAGCAAGGGCAGAGGGTATCTCGGGAGACTCTTGACCCACATCTCCCCCCTCCAGATGTTTTCAAGAATGCTCTCCACCTGGGGACCTTCTCAGCCGTGCTGGTCACCTATGCAGCCAGTGCCCTCCTGCATGTGAGCAGGGTGGAGCAGGATCAGGGTGGAAGCTGGGTGGAGGTGGCAGGGCCTCTTCTTTACTCACCTGATTGCGCCTTTGCCCCACCCCCCTGCCCCTCCAGGGCTTCAGCTTCCACCTGGCTGCAGTGCTGCTATCTCTGGCATTTATCACTTATGTGGAGCATGGTGAGTAGAGAGCCCAGCCCAGCAGACTGGGTGGAAGGTTGGCGGGAGGTGGGGCTGGAACTACTGTCCCCTGAAGCTAACCTGACCCCCTTACCTCCCCGCATCTACCCCAGTCCTCCGGAAGCGCCTGGCTCGGATCCTCAGTGCCTGCGTCTTGTCGAAACGGTGCCCAGCAGACTGTTCACACCAGCATCGCTTGGTGAGGGTTCAGCCTGGGCAACCTTACACCCTACACTCACCCTCAAAAATGTTACTTCTGTCTCCATCTGATATGTGTCTCAGAGTGCCCAGCTTCCTCTTCTGGTGCCTGAGCCATCCATGTGACCACACCTCTATCCACTGGCATCTGTCTCTCTAACAAACATTTATCTAGCAGCTGCTATATACACACCTGGCATTCATGTCCCCAGTAAACATGTATTGAGCACCTGCTGGTATCAGACACTGTTTCAGGTACTGGAGACACAGTGGTAAACAAAACAGACCAAAGCCCCAGCCCTCTGGTACAAACATTTTAAAGGGGGAGACAGTAAATAAAAACTAAGTCAGTAAAGTATAATAGTTTGTTGGATTGTGATTAATGCCAAGGAAGAAATACATAAGGGAAAGGGGAGGGGAAGTATTAGGGGGCGAATGGATTCCACTTTAAACAGGGAGGTATCTTTTGAGTTCTTTAACTGAAGGATGTGAGGGACAGAAGCATTCCAGACAAAGGGAAGAACCAGTATAAAGGCCCTCAGATGGAAGAGGGCCTGGAATATTTGAGGAACAGTGAAGAGGACAGTGTGGTTTGAGCAGAGTGAGCAAGGGGGAGAGTGGTGGGCCCTGTATGTCATGGTGGGGATTTGCTTTGTTTGTTTTCATTTTGTTTGCAATAAGAAGTATGGACAACCTCTGACAGCTGATGTTTATCACCATAAAGGCCCAACTCAGAGACCCACCATTCTTTGTCCTCTGCCTGAATACTCGCATCTCCCCCAGTCTGGACGGTACCCTCATCCCTGGATACCCCTTGATCTCCCATAGGAGGATCTGACCGTCTAATTCCTACCCCAGGGGGTACCCTAAACAGCCTCATTCCTGAGATCCACTGCACTTTGTGCATCTCCCTGAGCTCCTCTGCCCAGGTGAAACTGGGAGACAGTAAATATGTCCAGCTGCCAAGCATATCTATCTGTCCCCCACAGGGCCTGGGGGTGCGAGCCTTAAACCTGCTCTTTGGGGCCCTGGCCATCTTCCATCTGGCCTACCTGGGCTCTCTGTTCGATGTCGATGTGGATGATACCACAGAGGAGCAGGTGAGGTGGGGCCCTGGGCTGGGGGTACCCAGGGATGTGCCACCTGCTCATGAGAACCATGAGGGCAAAGTAGCGGGGGGAGGCTGAGGCAATGAGGACCGACCCTGTGGTGTGTGTCTCTAGCTCGTGCAGCCAGTGCTCCTCTGTCCTTCTTTCCCATTGTCCCTCTGGTTGATTCACACTGTTGGGTCTTTTATTTGGATAAAGTGTGTAAAATGTTTATTTTACTTATAAAATTTATTTTATAGAGCTGGAGTGTAAAATCCAGGCTTTACTTTTTTAAATTAATCATTTCGTCATATTTTTGTTCAGGTAGAATTTACGAGATTTCTTTCTTATTTTTTAAAAAATATTTTTACTCAGGTTGAGTGTGCAAACTCTGGATTCTACTTTTAAAATGTACATTAAAGTGTCTATACTATTTTTATTCATGTGAAATATGCACATTCCAGATTCTACTCCTTTTTAAATGAAAAGCAATTTTAAAAATAATATTCATTTATATGACTCTTGCAGGGTCCAGATATTGCTTATCTTTTAGTTAAATTTTTGTTAATTAAAAATAAAAATTTATTTTATATTATTTTCATCATTAAAAACAATTTTTAATTTTTATTTAAGTTGAGTGTGCAAAATCTGGGTTTTGCTTCTTTTTAAATTTTTTATCTTATCTTAATTAAAACATTTAAAGATAGTTAATGTGTATCCCATGGTTCAAAAACAAAACAGTATTCAAGATATTCAAGGGAAAGTCTTGCTCCTACCATCTACCACTGCCCTCTTACAGGTAACCGCTTTTGCTCATTTTATTAAAATATCCTTCTAAATTTTAAGCATAATAGGTAAGTATAAAAATATATTTTAATTCCCTCCCCCTGGTTTTTACCCTAAAGGTAACTCATGAATGACATTGTTCTACATGTTCCTTTTTCCACATAATAATCTTTGAAAATCTTCCACATTAGTACACGGAGTACCCTCACTCATTTTTTCCATTGTGAGGATATGACACAGTGTAGTTTGTCCCTTATCAGTGGATACCCAGGTGATTTCTAGTCCTTTCCTATTGCAAATGATGCTGAAACAAGTAACACCCTCATACCCATGTGGATTCACACAGGTGCAGACATAACTGTAGGATCTATCCTTGACAGTCAGAATGGAGAATTTACCTTTTTGCCCTCCTACCAGCAGTGGGTGAACCTACCTGTCACCCCACAACAGAGTGCCTCTCAGACACTGAATGTGTTCACCAATTTGAAAGGAGGAAGATTATGAGTGAGGCCATATGTTTAAGAGCTATTTATTTTTCTCCTTTACTGAGAATAGCTTACTTGCCTCCTTGGCCAGTTATTGTCTTTTTAAAAAATCAATTTCTAGGAGCTCTTTACATATAAGGAAGAGTACAGGTCAGAGAGTGGGATTGCCTTGTCTTATTTTTTAAATTATATTTAAAGAAAGAAAAACACAAAAGAAAAAACTAAATCTGCTTACTTTTTATATGTACCTACTATCTCCTCTGGGGTCTCACCTAGGGCTACCATGGAGTCACAAAAATGGCCTTGAGCTAAGGTTGGGTTTTCCTGAGAGCTTCTTTGTTCTTGCTGAGTGGGACCATCACTTCTTTTTCTCCCACAGGGCTATGGCATGGCATATACTGTCCACAAGTGGTCAGAGCTCAGCTGGGCCAGTCACTGGGTCACTTTTGGATGCTGGATCTTCTACCGTCTCATAGGCTGAGGCACATCCGTGGACCCTCACAGCTCCCTCAAGACCCCTCCTCAGGGTGCCAGCTCTGATGGAGGATGAGGGAAAGCCCTCTCTCTAATTCTTGACTCCTCTCCATCCTCGATCCCCCAACACCACTATACACACATATACATACATACACACACACACACACACACACACACACACACACACACCATTTCCATGCTTGTCGATCCCCATCCCACCACAAGGGGGTAGGGGGTGGTCCCTGCTAGGGCCTAGGGGTGAGGGATGCTTGGCGAAGCAGAGAGAGGGAGATCCAGGGCCTCCCCACCTTCCTTCTCCCTTTTTATATACAGTTTGTTATTGTCAAATAAAAGTAGGAAAGATACAAAAGGCTCTTTCTTCACTGCTCAGTGGGGAACAGATGTGAGTGAGAAAGGCGGCACAGCATGGATAAAGGTTTGGAAGCTGGAAACCATGAAGAGGGAGCAGGTTGTGATTGGATCAAAATTAATTTATTACTGTTCATGATTGGATGATGAGCCCGAGCTGCCACTGCTTGATTTGAGCGGGGCCAGGACAGGTTGGATAGTTGAATATCGGGAAAGCCTGATAATAATTGGCTGGAAAACTAAGAGAATCCATTCTGATTGGTTGCTCTGGGATGGGAGAGGAGTGGGAGAAGCAAGAGTTGATAACATACTGGTCCTTAAGACTGAGGGTTGTGAGTTGTTAATTGGATAGGTCTGGGATGGGTCTGGATTCTGACTGATTGTGCGGTCTTGGTGCCCACTGGCTTAGAGTTGCGGAGTTCTGATTGGTTCTTTAGAGTTAGCACAGGAGATTGAGGGTCTCCATTGCCAATTAGCCAGCAAGGCTAAGAGGTTGGGTTTTGATTGATTCATCTGACTTGAAGTCGGGAGAGGTGAGGGTGATCTCTGAGGAATTCTGAGTGCTGGGGTAGAGAAAGTGGAGGCAAAGTATACAGGATGTGACCTTGGTATTAAATTCCCTTGCGCATTAGGGCGTTAGGATTGCAGGTTGGTCTGGGAACTGATTAGTTGCTCTGCTTAGAAAACTAGGGCAAAGATGAAAAGACGCAACGCAATGCTGATTCAACAGCAGACAAGATGGATACTTGTTGAGTAACAAGAAGGATACTTGTTGAATACCCGATCTCCAATATGACTGACTGATAAGAGGATAGAGAAATTGAAGCCAAGACTCGCCGCAGGTTGGCTTCGGGCCGAAAACGCCCACCAACTTCCGAAGTCCCAGCCTTCACTCACCTCCTGATTGGGCTCAGCCAACAACGAAAATGGCACCACGCGTGGGGGCGGGGTCGGCGGCACAGAAAGAGCTCCTATTGGTTGGGAGCAGATTTGCCTTCCCAGCCCTAACCAACTCCTTAAGACGAGGAACCTGTGTGGGGTTAGGTCTGAACTAGGGCTGTTACGGAGCCACCGGGCCAGCCTCAGCAAAGCCGAGACCCTGTGGGAGAAGCCGCTGCGACCGCGCCGCTAGGTGAGTGCCCTCCACCTGGCCTGCCACTCTATCCCCTAGCTCCAGAGCTAAACGGCCGGCCCTCGGAGTGCCTGCGCGATACACTGCCCCCTCCATCTCGCTGCACTTCCACACCCCGCACGCGCTTGCGCGACACTCCCGGCTACCGCGTGGTTGTCCAGACTACAGAAGAGCCTCCTCATTGGACAGCTGGATTAGAAGAGTCTAGTTCTGATTGGTGGTCTCTGTAATTTGACCTCCTTTTCCTCTTTAAGCTCCGCGCGCGCTAAATCTATGTCTTCCACTCGCCTCTTTATTTTATTTCGGCAGTGGTGTGCGCTATTGCAGGAAGGGTTTGGCTTTCCACATACTGAATCTGAGGGTCGTGGTCCTCATTAGTCTTCTCTCTTCTGTCCTGAAGTTTCCAGGACTGCAGGGAGAGAATAGCTCTCCGTTGAACAATGCAAGACACCCCTGCAATAGAACCCAACCTATTTGCAGTCTCTCCCCCACCAGACTGTGACCCCTGAGGGCGGGAACCAGACCTGGTTCCTGTGTCTCCCTCACAGAGGATGACCAATGAGGTTGGGGACCAGGCCCGGTTCCTGTGTCTTCTAAAGCTGACCCTGACCCCTGAGGACAGGGACCTGGTCTGGTTCCTGTGTCTACCATATCATACAGCTCCCGAAGGAACAAACTTTCAGTCTAAGGCCTTATAGTCATGATTTTAAAACAGCATATAGATTGTTTTTAATCCAGTTTTACAAGTCTGTAAACTGAAAAATTTAGTCCATTTGTGTTTCTTATATAACAAACCATTCAGATTTGATTTTATGCTCTCATTCTGTGCTTTCTATTCAGATTTTTCTCTTTCTTTTTTCTCTTTTCTACTTATCCACACACAGCCATCAGCCTACAAAGACATGGCCACCAGTGCTAGCCCCTTGCACCCATACTGGCCTCGGCACCTGAGACTGGACAACTTTGTGCCTAATGACTACTCTACCTGGCATCTCCTGGCTGGCCTCTTCTCTGTCTCTGGGGTCTTAGTTGTGACCACATGGTTGTTGTCTGGACATGCTGCGGTCATCCCACTGGGGACTTGGCGGCGACTCTCCCTGTGCTGGTTTGCAGTGTGTGGGTTCATTCACATGGTGATTGAGGGCTGGTTCAGCCTCTACCACGAGGACCTTCTTGGAGACCAAGCCTTCCTGTCTCAACTCTGTGAGTCTTGAGTTCTTTCATGTGCTGTGGGAGGGAATTTTCTGGACAGGGATTGGCTTAGATGTTTACCCACCCACCAACTCTTCTATTAATTTATTTTAAAATTTTGTTTAACTTTTTTGCGTATATATTCACATGGGTCAAAAAAACAAATCATTTAAAGAGGTATGCAGTGAAATTCTACCCTCTGTCTACCGAGTTTCCCCAATTATTAATAATTGCTTGTTTCCTTTCAGAGTTAATTTACCCATAAATTACACATATAAGGCTCAGTTTGCTCAATTATAAAAGAGGGATAATAGTAATACCCAAATACATGTAAGGCACTTAGAACAGTGTTTGGCAGACAGTAGATGCCATATAACTGTTTATCATCATCATCGTCATCAGTTTTTATTTTTCCCTTTTGTGCCAATAAATGCTAACATGCTATATACACTCCTGAACTTTGCTTTTTTAAATGAGATCACTCCTTGTCAGTTCATAAAGAGCTTTCAAAGCATAGACGTTACAGAATCATTTGACTTGTCCAGTATTGATGGGCATTTCCCCCAATCTTTTGCTGTTATAAGAAACACTCCTTTTTGGCCTCATGAATAAAGCTGCTATGAGTATTGTTATACAAGTCTTTGTGTAGAGATCTGCTTTCATTTCTTTTGGGTACATACGAAGGAGTAGAATGGCTGGTTGGGTCATATGGTAGGTGTGTGTTTAACTTTATGGAAAACTGCCAAACTTTTCAAAAATGGCTACACCATTTTATATTCCCACCAGCAGTATATTAGAGTCATAGTTTTTCCACATTCTCGCTGACACTTGGTATGGTCAGATATTTCTTAAATTTTAGTCCTTCTAGTGGATATGAGTGACGTTTCATTATGGGGTTGTCATTCACTTTCCCTTAACAATTAAAGTTTGAGCACCTTTCATGTGTGTATTGACCATTTGGAAATCCACTTTGGCGAAGAACCTATTCTAATCTGCCTATTTTTACATTATGTGAGCTGCCTTTTTCTTACTGATTCTCTGCTTGCTCTTTCATTCACTCCTCTCTTCACCTTCGTGCTCTCTGTCTCTCTGTCTCTGTCTCTCTCCCCCCTTATTGGCTACTTCATTCTCTCTATAATCTACACCTGCCTCCTTTTTTATTCTATAAATATTTATTGAATACCAGACAGTCACAGAAACACTGTTCTATGTCAGGTTTGCACACATTATCTTGTATACATATATTAACTCTAGAATCCAAACAGTCACCCCATTTCAGATGTGGAAACTGAGGCATGGAAGGGTTATAAAACCTGCCTGATTACATGGGACTTCAGTTCTCACAAGTCTTAGTTCCTTTTCCTGCCTTTATTCTTCATGTTTGTCTCTTGTCTTTATCAGGGA